AAACACTGTAGTTGTAGAAAAAAAAGAAAGGAAATCCAAATAAATGGATAGACATTCTGTGCTCACCGATTAGAAAACCTTAACATTTTAAGGTGACGATACTACCCAAAGTGATATGCAGATTTAACATAATCCCAAATACTTATTTTGCAAAAACAAATTAATCCTGAAATTCATATGGAATTACAAGAGATCTTGAATAGCTAAAACAATCCTGATAAAGAGCAAAGTGGAAGGACTCCTACTTCCCAATTTGTAAATTTCCTACAAAGCTACATTAATCAAAAAGTGTGACACTGACTGAAGGACAGAAATATAGAAAAATGGAAAAGAGTTGAGAGTACAGAAATAAACCCATCCATCTGTCTGTGCTCCTCTGATTTTTGACAAGGGTATCAAGATCATTCAATGGAGAATGAACAACAAACGATGCTGGGACAACTGGATACTCACATGCAAAAGGATGAAGTTGGATCCTTAGCCCACACCGTAAACAAAGAGAAGTCAAAATGGATCAAAGATCTAAATGTAAGAGCTAAAACTCTTAGAAGAAAACATAGGCGTATAAATCTTCATGATCCTGGATTAGGAGATAGTTTTATTAGATATGACATTCAAAGCACAAACAATGAAAGAAAAATAGATAAAGTGAGCTTCATCAAAACTTGAAATCTTTTTTGCATCTAAGTAAACTATCAAGAAAGTGAAAAGACAACCCACACAATGGAAGAAAATACTTACAAATCATATATCCAATAAGGGTCTGATATCCAGAATATATAATAAACTCTTACAACTCAACAATAAAAAGACAAATAATCCAATTTAAAATGGGCAAAAATTTGAATAGACATTTCTCCAAAGAAGATAAACACATGACCAATAAGCACATGAAAAGATGCTCAACATCATTAGTCATTGAGGAAATACAATTAAAAACCATAGTGAGATACCACTTTGTAGCCAAGAAAATGGCTATAATGAAAAAGATAATGGCAAGTGTTGGTGAGGAGATGATATAGGGAAACTGGAACCCTCATACATGGCTAGTAGGAATGTAAGATGGTATGGCCACTTTGGAAAAGTTTGGCGTTCCTCAAAAAGTTAAACAGAATTATCATAAAAAATCAGTTGCCTTTGAGTAGACTGTGACTCATGGCAACCTCACATGTAACAGAATAGAGAACTGTGCTCCATAAGGTCTCAATGGCTGATTTTTCAGAAGTAGAGCACCAAGCCTTTCTTCTGAAGTTCTTCTGGGTAGACTTGAACCTTGAACTGTTCAGGTAGTGGCCAAGTGCATTAAACATTTATACCACTGAGGAATTCACATATGGGGTTCACCGTGAGTTAGAATTAGAACTGACTCTATAGCAACTGTTGAACATTACCATATGACTTAGTAATTCTACTCCTAGATGTATACTCAACAGAAATAAAAACATATGTCCACACAAATCTTGCACCTGAATATTCTAGCAGCATCATTCATAATATCCAAAATGTAGAAACAACCCCAATGTCTATCAGCTAATAAATGAACTACAGTATATGGTAATGGAGTATTATTTAGCCATAAAAAGGAATGAAGTACTGATATATAGTACAACATAGATGAATCTTGAAAATATTATGCTAATTGAAAGAAGCCAAACATAAAGGCCACATACTGTATGAGTCAATTTATATGAAATATCCAAAATAGGCAAATCCAAGTTTAGTGGTTGCCAGGGTATAGGCATAGGAGGAAACTGGGACTAACTACTAATAGGTTAATAGGTATGATGTGTTTTTTTTGAAGTGATAGAAATGTTCTGGAATTAGATAGTGATGATGGCTGCACACCACTGTGGATGTAATAATCATCTCTGAATTGAATACTTTAAAAGGATTAAAATGGTGAATTTTATGATACGTGACTTTTATCTTAAAAAAAAAATTAAGCCATTAAAAATTTTTATCTAAATCATGTTTACAACTACATATAACAAACACATTTGAAATAATATAAAACACAATTTTTTCCTTTTTAAAAACTTCTAATTTTCAATGCAATATTATTCATAATAGCAAAAAATTGAAACCAATCTAAGTATTCATTATTAGGGAAATAAATAATGATGCAGCTATCTAAAAGAATGATCTATTAATTGAAAAAAGCAAAGCACTGAACAGTGGCTGAAGTATGATCCCATATTGTATGTGTGTTTAATGATATGTAAACATACTTATATCTGTGTAAGATCTTAACAGCGGTAACCCCAGCAAAGCAGAACTTGGAGACTTTCTAAGTTATATGCTATTCTGTGTTATTTGACTTTTATAATAAAAAATGTTTGAAACAAAATAAAATTTGATTCCTCTTTTGGAATGTAACTTGGACTATTACGATGGCTTTCAAACATAGGAGGCATTCATTTATCTGTTGAAGAAAATATTTGCTGTATGCTAGAGAAGCTTCTTTAAATGTTATCATCTTTTACGATCAGAAAATGCATGTGGCAAGAACACAATCTACATTTTCTGAAAGATTACAGCCATTATAAAGCAGCATTTTCAAACCATTTGCCATACAGCCATTTCACATGGCTATATATATGAGAAGGAAAAACACTGATAAATGGAAAACATCTCTCCGTACAAAAAGAAGGAAGGTTAGGCAATCTACATCCGTAGTGATACCATCTCGGAAACCCAAGGAGGGGTTCCTGTGAGTTGGATCTGACTCGACAGCAGTGAGTTTTGAGTTTATACAATGAGAATTTAAAATAAAAAATTTTATTGCATTTCTGGTAACAGAATAAAAAATATTTTTATGGTAAAAATGGTTTCTGATCTATAACATGACCTGAGGCTACTGTGCCGATAAGGACACAAAGGCTACTTAGCAGTCAAATGCCTTAGGCCCTAAGCCACCAGAGCTCCTAAACAGATTGCCCAATCTTCCTTCCCAGGAGGGGCTGGTGGATTTGAACCGCCAGCCATCTTATGACAATGTAGGAAAGGTAAATTTGCTTGGATTTGTGCACAGAAAGGTGCTGTCAGAATCTAACAACATTATACAAGTATTAAATTACATGAAAATCTACAAAAGGATGTCTGTAGCATCAGAAGCCTAAAAGATATATTAACAAAAATAAAGGGTACATATTTCATCTAATTCTGAACCCTCAAGCATGGTGTCAGAAAATTACCAGGATTGGATAAACAATGGAGAAATTTACTCTGAGGTGGAGATGAAAACAGCAAAACACAAATGCGTGCGACACCAATAAAAGAAAAAAACATCTACCTGCCATTCAAACTCACTATCTGACCAGTCCCAATAAGTGCTAATGGAAGAGGAGACATCACTGCAGACACTTCCCTCTGGGAATAAATCAAAAGATGTGAAGTCTTGATCATCTAACAGGGAATAACAATCATCTTGATCTCCAACAGAAACTGATGAAAACAGCTCTTCACTGCATTCTGAGCTGGCAACACTTGTTCCACAAGAAGTTAAGTTCCACCTTCAAAAACACAACACAAGAGAAATCATAATGGGAACTATACAATGCACACAATTTTAAGATATGAATGGGAAATACGATTGCATTTTTAGGTATGATAATGATATTGGGATTATTTTGTAAGAGTCCTTATCTTTTAAGGACACACAGACACTAAAATATTTATGAATGAGCTATATCTGGGATTTGCCTCAAAATAATAAGGAAGGTGGTTTGGGAATGGGTAGGAGATTTATGCCTATGTTATATGTAAACGTGTAGAAGCTGTGTTGCTGTATTTGAGTAAGTGTAGAAGCTGAGTGATGTGTACAGGGGTTCATTATGCTATTCTCTCTACTCCTGTATCTATCTGAAAAATTTTGAGAAAAATTCAAATAAAGAAAAATGTATTTAGACATGGAAGAAAGTAAAACCTTCATCCATAAGGAAAAAAATATATACCATGGTGGTTAGATGGGATCAGACTCAGTTCAAATTCCTGCTGTCACTACTCTTTAGCTGTTTGATTCTTAGAGCTAAGTACTTCTCCAAACCTGGGTCCTCATCTTTACAATGAGGTTATTGTTGAAGATTGTATAAGAACATATGCAGAGCACTTAGCATATAAAATCTAATGTGCATCCAGCATTTCCTCTACTCTAATTGGATAGGTAATTGCAGTGTTAAAATGAAAATGTATTTTCTTGTTAATGTTACCAAAACAGCAACTAGATAACTAGAATTGAAGGCTTTAAAAGAACTCAGGTATTCTTTCCCAACATTGTTTTTAGATTAAAGAATATTTTTTCATACTATTTTAAGATACACCTTACCTGAAACTAGCATTTTCTTTAACATTCATTGACTTTTATAATTTCCATTCTCAAAAATTTTTAATATTTTCATTTTTAAATGAAAGTTCTAAACGCTGTATTTTACCTGTAACAATCAGCTTTTCTAAGTGAAGATTCATTTACTGAGGATGATATATTTTAATACTGCATTATTCTTAGTATGATTAGCAATCAGTGATAATAAATTATTTCAATTCATAAAAAAAAAGTGCTCAATATACAGAGCTTTAATATCAAATTAAAACGGGAGGCCACTGCAGGGTAGAGAAAAGCACCAACAAAGTATATAGGTAGAAATGCAAAACGTGTCTTCTATTTAATTAATTTTACATATTAAAGTTATACAGGCTCATTGCAAAGATTTTAGAAGCCTGACTAAAATTAAAATGATCAATAATTCCATTATGCAACAATAACCAATCCTTAATATTTTGGTATTTTTCCCTACATGTATATATATTTATATGCAAAATTAGTGATCATTCTGCATACATACATATTTTAGTATTCTGCTTTTGTTTTCACTGAACATTATATATACAACATTTCCCCAAGTATATTACTTGAAACATCTTAATGATTTATTGTATTTATTGTATTAATTATTCCACTGATTAAATATATCATAATTTATTTAACCTTATTCCCCCAAGAACATTTAGGCTGTCCAATTTTTTGTTCATACTTACAAATAATACTGCCTTTTTGTTTATAATTATTTATCCGAATATGTATTCTCTCAGGATAGATTACTTGAAATGAAACTACTGGGTCAAAGACTTCTAAGGTTCTTGGTACACCTAGTCAAATTCTTTTTTGAAAGATTACATCAATTTATATTCCCCAGGGCAATATTTAAAAGTGTGCATCGCACCACACCTGTTAACAGCAGGGGATGTGTGCTTTTAAAAATGTTTACCTCTCTAGAGAGAAACATTTTTATAACAATGTTTATTTCTTTGAAGAAAGAGATCAAAATTAAAAATATTTATTAGCCATTAATAGTACATGCAGAAACTGTTGAATTGGTGTATGTCTTGATGTGTATACTTGAAACTGAGTAAAGTAAAAACTATTTCCCCACTCCGGACCTCAGTTGGAGATAGATGAGTAAACACATAGGACTCCGGTCAGAGACAGATGAGTTCCTTAAGAACTGAATGGAAAGGAAACATTTTTTCCTGCTGTTTCCTTAAGCACAGGTGTCTCAACAACAAAATTAATGAAATTATATTTTAAAAATATTTATTAGCCATTTTGCTAGGGGATTTTTCTATGCGTTAATGTTTTCCTTATTGATTTTTGTAAGAGTTCTATATGCATTAAGGGTAATAGCCCTTTGTACTATTTGTTGCAAGATTTTTTTTTTATGGTCTCGAAATCTATTAATCTGTTTTCCTTTGTAAATTTCCACTAGTTTTATACTATTAACTAGATAATCTTCACTGCTTTGGCAGCAGCACGGGTATTTAATCCTTAAAATAATGATTCAGTATTTCTTATACTAATAAGCTACTGAAATAATGACTTCCTGAAGGAAAGTTTGTTCTCTGCCTATTATTTGATGGTTTGTAATCATTCATTAAATTCTGTTTTTAATTTATATATTCTCATTTTCTAATTTCCCTCTCTTATTTTGTACAGTTAGTCTTGATTTAGAAATTCTTAAAAATTTGAGCAGTCTTGAAAAATTTATAGCACCTTTCCTCTGAGCTACCCTTGGAAAGGAAAGGCAAGTACAGTGCAATAAATGTAAAAGCTGATGTCAATAAAATGTTATAAATAGACAAAAAATAACCTTTTCATCCAAGGATCCTAGAATACCTTGTAAGATTAGTTAGTTTCATCATATGCTTACTAAGTAGGCGGTATCCTCATTTTAGAAGAACTGACAAACCTAATAGAGTTAACCAGATCTCCCAGGTCTTGCAATAAGGCAACAGAAAAGCTGTGAACAGCAGTCACATGATCTGTCCTGGAGATAGTAAACCTTATTTCCATTGGGTCCTGAGCTAACTACTTTTTCTCTTTTTGTCTTTAAACTGCCTGTGCCTTTTTTTTACCTTTATTCATTCATCCAATCCATTCAAAAAACATTTAGTCAGTTTCTTCTTTGTGCCAGGTCCTGTGTCAGGTGCTAAGAAAAACTGTTAGAGAATTGTTTTTAATGGGAATTTCTTTTCAGCTGCAAATTTTCTGCAGAAATTTGTTTTCCTTCAAGTTCCTTTGTTTTGTGCTTTTACCTTAGGGCAAAATCAGCATGTGCCTCAGTTTTCCAGATTCACAACTACCTAACAGGATTCTGAATATTCTCACATGTCTTTGCCCCCACCCCCACTTTTTAAAATTAACAGTGGCAATTAAATTGGACTCACAGTTAAAACAAATCACTTCAAACTACAGAAAAACAGTATATATATTCTTTTACTATTACAGATTTTTCTTAATTTTCTTTCAATTTGCAAAGATTATTTTTATTACTATTTAAGGCAATGTGGGTGGAAGCAAAGTAAGAATTACTCTAAGCCACTGTTGGTTAGAGTATAAATTGGCATAATCTTTCTGGAAAGCAATCTGGCAGTGTATCTCTATCAAGAGGAGCTCTGGTGGCGCTGTGGTTAAGGCACTGGGCTGCTAACCAAAAGGTCAGCTGTTTGAACCCACAAAGCTGCTCTGCTGGAGAAAAATGAGGTAATCTGCTTCCCTAGGATTGTCAGCCTTGGAAACCCTATGGGGGGAGGTCGCTGTGAGTTGGAATCAATTCTATAGTAATGGGTTTGGATTTTTT